CCTTCTCAAACAGCTGTACGAGCAGTTCGTCAAGGTGAGGCGTCACGAGGTCAAACCCTGCTCTAAACACGCCTTCTCAAACAGCTGTACGAGCAGTTCGTCAAGGTGAGGCGTCACGAGGTCAAACCCTGCTCTAAACACGCCTTCTCAAACAGCTGTACGAGCAGTTCGTCAAGGTGAGGCGTCACGAGGTCAAACCCTCTAAACACGCCTTCTCAAACAGCTGTACGACAGTCGTCAAGGTGAGGCGTCACGAGGTCAAACCCTGCTCTAAACACGCCTTCACAAACAGCTGTACAGTTCTCAAGGTGAGGCGTCACGAGGTCAACCCTGCTCTAAACACGCCTTCACAACAGCTGTACGAGCATTCGTCAAGGTGAGGCGTCACGAGGTCAACCCTGCTCTAAACACGCCTTCTCAAACAGCTGTACGAGCAGTTCGTCAAGGTGAGGCGTCACGAGGTCAAACCCTGCTCTAAACACCCCTTCACAAACAGCTGTACGAGCAGTTCGTCAAGGTGAGGCGTCACAAGGTCAAACCCTGCTCTAAACACGCCTTCTCAAACAGCTGTACGAGCAGTTCGTCAAGGTGAGGCGTCACGAGGTCAAACCCTGCTCTAAACACGCCTTCTCAACAGCTCTGTACGCATTCGTCAAGGTAGGGTCACGAGGTCAAACCCTGCTCTAAACACGCCTTCTCAAACAGCTGTACGAGCAGTTCGTCAAGGTGAGGCGTCACGAGGTCAAACCCTGCTCTAAACACGCCTTCTCAAACAGTCTGTACGAGCAGTTTCGTCAAGGTGAGGCGTCACGAGGTCAAACCCTGCTCTAAACACGCCTTCTCAAACAGCTGTACGAGCAGTTCGTCAAGGTGAGGCGTCACGAGGTCAACCCTGCTCTGAACACGCCTTCTCAAACAGCTGTACGAGCAGTTCGTCAAGGTGAGGCGTCACGAGGTCGACCCTGCTCTAAACACGCCTTCTCAACCGCTGTACGAGCAGTTCGCAAGGTGAGGCGTCACGAGGTCAAACCCTGCTCTAAACACCTCCTTCACAAACAGCTGTACGAGCAGTTCGTCAAGTGAGGCGTCACGAGGTCAAACCCTGCTCTAAACAACCCTTCACAAACAGCTGTACGAGCAGTTCGTCAAGGTGAGGCGTCACGAGTCAAACCCTGCTCTAAACACGCCTCACAAACAGCTGTACGAGCAGTTCGTCAAGGTGAGGCGTCACGAGGTCAGACCCTGCTCTAAACAAACGCCTTCTCAAACAGCTCGAGCAGTTCGTCAAGTGAGCTCACGAGGTCAGACCCTGCTCTAAACACGCCTTCACAAACAGCTGTACGAGCAGTTCGTCAAGTGAGGCTCACGAGGTCAGACATAATCACTCCTGATACCAACATGGCTAAAGACGCCTCAAACTAAATCTGATGAAAAACTTTTATTCAAATTAGATCTTTGTTGGAGGATGTTTTATTTGTAAGTGTTATGAAGGCATTGAGTGAGAGACCATTGAAGACATGTAACGATCAGCAACAGGAAGGACACGGGAACAGGTGCGTTGGACTCCTTGATTCCTGAATGGAGGTCAAAGTGTTTGTTTCTTCTTGCAGAACATGGAGGAGATGGAAGAGCCACGACTCGTTCCTGCATGGAGCGCAGGAGTGAGAAGGAGATGGCCACGCTGCAGAAGAAGATCCTCAGGACACCGTGATGTGTGTGTGTGTGTTGTGTGTGTGTGTGTGTGTGTGTGGTGTGTGTGTGTGTGTGTGTTGTTGTGTGTGTGTGTGTGTGTTTGTGTGTGTGTGTGTGTGTGTGTGTTGTGTGTGTGTGTGTGTGTGTGTTGTGTGTGTGTTTGTGTGTGTTGTGTGTGTGTTGTGTGTGTGTGTGTTGTTTTGTGTGTGTGTGTCTGTCTGTCTGTCTGTCTGTCTGTTCTGTCTGTCTGTCTGTCTGTCTGTCTGTCTGTCTGTCTGTCTGTCTGTCTGTCTGTCTGTCTGTCGTCTGTCTGTCTTCTGTCTGTCTGTCTGTCTGTCGTCTGTCTGTCTGTCTGTCTGTCTGTCTGTCTGTCTGTCTGTCTGTCTGTCTGTCTGTCTGGCTGTCTGTCTGTCTGTCTGTCTGTCTGTCTGTCTGTCTGTCTGTCTGTCTGTCTGTCTGTCTGTCTGTCTTCTGTCTGTCTGTCTGTCTGTCTGTCTGTCTGTCTGTCTGTCTGTCTGTCTGTCTGTCTGTCTGTCTGTCTGTCTGTCTGTCTGTCTGTCTGTCTGTCTGTCTGTCTGTCTCTGTCTGTCTGTCTGTGTCTGTCTGTCTGTCTGTCTGTCTGTCTGTCTGTCTGTCTGTCTGTCTGTCTGTCTGTCTGTCTGTCTGTCTGTCTGTCTGTCTGTCTGTCTGTCTGTCTGTCTGTCCTGTCTGTCTGTCTGTCTGTCTGTCTGTCTGTCTGTCTGTCTGTCTGTCTGTCTGTCTGTCTGTCTGTCTGTCTGTCTGTCTGTCCTGTCTGTCTGTCTGTCTGTCTCTGTCTGTCTGTCTGCCTGTCTGTTCTGTCTGTCTGTCTGTCTGTCTGTCTGTCTGTCTGTCTGTCTGTCTGTCTGTCTGTCTGTCTGTCTGTCTGTCTGTCCGTCTGTCTGTCTGTCTGTCTGTCTGTCTGTCTGTCTGTCGTCTGTCTGTCTGTCTGTCTGTCTGTCTGGCTTCTGTCTGTCTGTCTGTCTGTCTGTCTGTCTGTCTGTCTGTCTGTCTGTCTGTCTGTCTGTCTGTCTGTCTGTCTGTCTGTCGTCTGTCTGTCTGTCTGTCTGTCTGTCGTCTGTCTGTCTGTCGGTCTGTCTGTCTGTCTGTCTGTCTGTCTGTCTGTCTGTCTGTCTGTCTGTCTGTCTGTTGTCTGTCTGTCTGTCTGTCTGTCTGTCTGTCTGTCCTGTCTGTCTGTCTGTCTGTCTGTCTGTCTGTCTGTCTGTCTGTCTGTCTGTCTGTCTGTCTGTCTGTCTGTCTGTCTGTCTGTCTGTCTGTCTGTCTGTCTTCTGTCTGTCTGTCTGTCTGTCTGTCTGTCTGTCTGTCTGTCTGTCTGTCTGTCTGTCTGTCTGTCTGTCTGTCTGTCTGTCGTCTGTCTGTCTGTCTGTCTGTCTGTCTGTCTGTCTGTCTGTCTGTCTGTCTGTCTGTCTGTCTGTCTGTCTGTCTGTCTGTCTGTCTGTCTGTCTGTCTGTCTGTCTGTCTGTCTGTCTGTCTGTCTGTCCTAATGATGTCTCTTGTTTGTGTTTCCGCAGCAACAGCAGTAAATGCCATGGTCCGAAAGTCTCTGCAGTCCCATGCTGTTCTGACCTGCTGCTGTTACCACGGCGACGGAGCTCCGGGGATTACGGGTTTGTGTTTGGTTGTCACGGTTACTAGTGGCTGTGGGGCCCTCAACAGTCATGTTTCCATAGCCGACGATGTTCAGGTTCGTGTGTTCACTCGTTTGAAACTGAGGTTTGTTTGACCTCTATTAGAGTTCAATTAGAAAACACACGTTTAATATGAAATGAGTTGATCTGAACTCAATCTGGAGAGAGCGACACAATAAGGGATTTGTTCTGGTCCAGTGTTCAGTGTGGGCTTTATTTTAAGGTCAAGAGGTTCATAAGGATTTTCATTTAAGGGTTTTCTATTTATTTATGTTTACATACAGAGGTGTAGTTACATTTACTCAAGTACACTTTACAGGTACTTTACTTGAGTATTTCAGGTTTATGCTACTGTGTACTTCTACTCTACTACAATTATTCTAGTTTTACTCAAGTACAAAATCTGAGTACTCTACTTTTACTCAAGTACCAGATCTGAGTACTTCTACTTTTACTCAAGTAACCAGATCTGAGTACTTCTACTTTTACTCAAGTACAAGATCTGAAGTACTTCTACTTTCACTGAAGTACAAGACCTGAGTACTTATACTTTTACTCAAGAACCAGATCTAATGGTGCTTTTCCTCTAGGGGTAGTTCCGGCTCAGGGCTACTTTTTCACCTTTTTTCTGGCCCTCCAAAATCGAGGTTCTTACCGGGCCAACAACCGGGCTGGATATGCTGAACTAGTGACGTAAACACTCGACTGCTGAATGGCCAGAGAGAATCGCTGGCAAGGGGGCTCCAACTACAACAAGATGAACATATTTGACCGTGATTAATTGTAATACACCGTTTCTAAATGATGAAGTAACAACATACTGATACCGGTTAGTAAAAAACCATGAATTAATGCTTTTGTCAAGTCCTGCAGACAGACGGCAGGGGAAAAAACCTTTTAAAATGCGTGTTTGTCTAAATGGAGCTTGGCTAAGCTAACGCAGTATATGCTCCGACCGTCCACACTCACACACAACGGCCTATACAGACATAAATAAAAGCAGCGACTGTATTCTCCATGACAACAGGCAAGTCTGTGGTTTGTACTTGTTTAAACTTTTGTCTAGTTTCTGAACAGATATGAGGAGCTTGTGAGCTCTGAGTGCTAACAGCTAACGGCTGATGTTAGTTTTGTGGTTCGCATTGAAGATGACTCACGGCTTCCGCCTACACTGCGTTACTATAGAGTGGCGAAGTCACGCCCACTTACTTCCGCCCCATGGGACCTTATTTCGGAAAAATTATGCATTGAAGTCAATGGGGAGAGAAAACGTATCTTTCGATCCCGTTTGAATTGTGCCACGAATTACACATATGATGTTTGTCAATCTTAAAAAATAATTTCCATGTCAAAAAAGTCAGTTTGTCGTAAAACTGTTGAAATATAAGACTATGAAAAAATACGTAACTAGAAAGACTACAAATCCCAGAGTTGCGTAAGTGATGTCACAATTGTTTTCCTCCTCCACCATTCAGATACCTAAGATCAGCGCAATATAGATAGAATCTATCTATATGGCGCTGGCTAAGATAGATAACTTTAACAAGATGCCTGTGTGCTTAGTACCAGGTTGTTATCATACCAGCAATGGGTCTTGCTCGTTCTTTTGCTTCCCGTCTGATGAAAAGGGATCAAGTTAGCTACCTAGCTAGTAGCTAGCACGTTAGTTAGCATTACAGAGCCTTGTCGTTTTATTAGCCTTAACATGAAGTAACATTAAGTAACCCAAAATGTTAAACAGTAAGAGTAGTAGTCATATTTCGTGAACCCTTTGAATAGTACTGTCACCAGGTGTGATCATTCTATAATACACAATTTAAGCCCGGGGGAGAAATGCTAACAGCTAACGTTAGCATCGGCGATCTTCTCTACTTCATGCTATCTGCACAAATGGTTGACATTAACATTAAAACGACCAGGCAGTTCAGAGAGAATCAAAGGAAGGCAGGCAGGCAGCTTTGCATGACATTCTTCAGGACGTGTTTCATTGTGGTGATAGTGAGGGTAGTCAATCGTTTTGTTGACAAGACAGTAGTGACGGCCATCTTGGTGACGTGTGTTGTTGACCAGAGATGTAGTTCATTGAGCGTTTCACACAAACAAATGTGTTACTTCACAGTTTTACCACACATTTTATTTTTTTTGACTTGCAAAATGATCTTTTAAATTGACAAACATCATATGTGTAATTCGTGGCACAATTCAAACGGGGATCGAAAGATAATCTTTCTCTCTCCATTGACTTCAATACATAATTTTTCCGAAATAAGGTCCCATGGAGGTCCACCGGAAGGGGAGGGACTTCGCCACTCTATAGTTACTGCCCCAGCTACTAAACTGTAATGGAAACGCAGCATTAAGTGAGCCTGGCCTAACCATACCGTACTAAACCCGGCTTAGTAATACGTGCTAGGTCCTGCAGTGGAAAAGCGCCATAAGTACTTCTACTTTACTCAAGTACAAGATCTGAGTACTTCTCCTTTTATTACGTTTCGGAGGGTATTTTGTGTGACACCGGAAGTTCATACTCCTTGTTTAGAAATGCACTTCCTGTTGTGAGTCCGGCAGAGACAACGGATCGTTTGTTAAAAACGGCTAAAAGAAGGAGAGATTTCAGGTGAAAGTCATAACCATTGTGTTTATAATGTTTGTGTTCATTGTTAGGCAGTAAAGTTTAATTGATTTTTACACCCATTTAACTTCGCGTTCATGTATCTATAGCTACTTTTACTAGCTCTGTGCTAACGGCTAGCAGCTAACAACATGACCTGATTTGAGTTTGAATGTATTTTATAGCTCCTGTGTCTTTGATAAGTATGATTTATACACACTATAACGGCAGAACACTTATGCAAGCTCAATGTGTGAGTTTTTCCTCTCTTTATACGCCAATAAATGGCACTCAAGCAGCTCAACCAGCACGAGGAAAGCTGATTTAATGTGTCTGTCTGTCTGTTTGTCTCTGTCTGTTTCTGTCTCTCTGTCTGTCTGTGTCTGTCTGTCTCTCTGTCTGTGTCTGTCTGTCTGTCTGTATCTCTGTCTGTGTCTCTGTCTGTCTCTGTCTGTCTCTCTGTGTGTCTGTCTGTCTCCTTTCTGTTCACCCACAGGATCACACATGTCAGTTTTAACCAGAAAGTATCTCTTCTCTCTCTGTGGACTGATACTGACCACCATGAGTAGTGTTGAGACCATTGGATATAGAGAGCACAAGATGAACACTATTATCTCTACTGTGGACACTTTATATTCCAAAAAATAAGCCATCTGTTCAATCCAAATGATCCAGAGTCTCCTAAATCTTCAAATGTAATAAAAACCAGTCCACAGAGAGAACAGATATGGTTACTCTCTCGTTAAAACTGACATTTCTGATCCTGAAAGTGTCAGAAATGGATTCAGCATCCTCAATAACCCCCAACGTTGTCCAAATCTGCCAAGACATTTTGTAACTCTAGTCCACATATTCTGCAAATTAAAGCAACTTATGCTAACTGTGTAAATATCCCAACATCTGCAGGTTAGCATCCGGCAGTTTCTATGATCTGGAGACCCTACTGTACATTTCCATCATTAAACTTTGGGGTCTCAACATCTCCGGATCCCAATAAGACCATTTGCAGACAGACCATAATATGAACCTGTTCTCTAATTCTCTCTCCAGGTGTCTTCCCCCTGCAGCTGGAGGCCATGAGGCTGCAGTGGAGGTGATTGTCGGGGGGGAACCAGGTGTTTTTAACCATGGAGGATCGGTCTGCCGGCTCCTCTGAGCCCGACAGCCCCGGAGCTCTGAACCGAGGCTGCCTGCACCACGACCTGTCCGTCTTAGTGCCCGAAACCCCCAGGTACCACGGACATGTCATATCAGTGTGGGAGGAGATGGACTAAAGTAACTTAAAGGTCCCCTATCATGCAGAATGCACTCTCTGATGTCTCTTATACATAACTGTGTGTCCCCGGTGTGTCAGGAGACTCACTAAGTGATGTCTTCTCTACATCACCATGTGTCCCCGGTGTGTCAGGAGACTCACTAAGTGATGTCTTCTCTACATCACCATGTGTCCCCGGTGTGTCAGGAGACTCACTAAGTGATGTCTTCTCTACATCACCATGTGTCCCCGGTGTGTCAGGAGACCTCTCATAGTGATGTCTTCTCTACATCACCATGTGTCCCCCGGTGTGTCAGGAGACTCTCAAAGTGATGTCTTCTCTACATCACCATGTGTCCCCGGTGTGTCAGGAGACTCACTAAGTGATGTCTTCTCTACATCACCATGTGTCCCCGGTGTGTCAGGAGACTCTCAAAGTGATGTCTTCTCTACATCACCATGTGTCCCCGGTGTGTCAGGAGACTCACATAGTGATGTCTTCTCTACATCACCATGTGTCCCCGGTGTGTCAGGAGACTCTCAAAGTGATGTCTTCTCTCCATCACCATGTGTCCCCGGTGTGTCAGGAGACTCACATAGTGATGTCTTCTCTCCATCACCATGTGTCCCCGGTGTGTCAGGAGACTCACAAAGTGATGTCTTCTCTACATCACCATGTGTCCCCGGTGTGTCAGGAGACTCACAAAGTGATGTCTTCTCTACATCACCATGTGTCCCCGGTGTGTCAGGAGACTCACTAAGTGATGTCTTCTCTACATCACCATGTGTCCCCGGTGTGTCAGGAGACTCACAAAGTGTCAGGAAATAAACCTACAATGATCTGTTTGGGGTTTGGAGCAGGACACTTCAGAGACATGTTTTTATATAATAAGGAGACCTTTAATGTTCAAACCTGTTGTTTGGTTTTCAGCCCGCTGCTCGGCAAACGGAGGAGACGCAGTCGCTTCACAGACGCACATTTCAGTCCTGTGAGTCCCTGTTCACACATTCTGTATTCAAACATAATGCTGACTTCCTGTCCTGACACTGACTTCCTGTCCTCAGGTGACTTCCTGTCCTCAGGTGACTTCCTGTCCTCAGGTGACTTCAGGTGGCTCTCCGGATCTTCCTGACCTTCCTCATAAATCCAAACGCAGACGTCTGGCTGCGGCGATGGAGCAGAGCGCCGGCTTCTTTCCTGCTTCGTCTCTCAGAACGCTTCCTCGGGTCAGCTGGCTGGAGTCCTCGCTGTCCACTGCTTCCTCCTCTTCCTCCTCTTCCTCCTCCTCTTCCCTCCTCCTACTTCACCCCAGTATCAGAGACAGGCGGAGAGGGTGTGCACAGTCCTGAATGTCTCGGCGTCCGGTTGAAGAAGCGTCTGGATGCAGCGGCGCCTCCTTCCTCCTCCTCCTCTTCCTCGTCTGCATCTCTGTCCTTCCTCACTGCCGAGGAGAAGCAGTGGCTGAACGGAGAGCCGGGTAACTCCTCCACAGGTGAGGAGTTACTTATCATCAGACGCTCAGCAGCTATGAAAGAGTCCCAGGCTCCTCCAACAGAGCACAATATATATGAGACATAAAACACATTTAAAAAACAATACAAATGCAAGAAGAAACAGAGTAGGTTAAAGATATACATGTCAACAAAAACAACAACAATAAGCACGTATTCTTCATATTTCATAGAAAATATAAATAATGTCACTTCTTCTTCTTCTTCTGGGTCTTTTTGTTCCCAGCATATCAGACACAACCTCTGATATCAGAATAAAAGCCCTTCAATAAAGTTATTATATTCAGACGTTACTAAATATTTATCCTTTTTTGGGGGGTAATATTTGAAGGTATTCATATTTTTATTTGGGTAAATATTCACTTACTTTTCAAAGTATCTTAAAGGTCCCATGTCGTGCTTCTCTGGTTCTGACCCGTCCCCCTGAAGCCTCTGCATGTGACCGGTCTGACCCTCAGAGTAGGGCTGTGCGATTATGGCAAAAATCATAATCACGATTATTTTGGTCAATAATTGATATCACGATTATTAAATACGATTATTCATTGACTTTGAAAACATCCATTTATTGAACTTTAAAACAAATACAAATAATAATTTGAACAGTATCTTTTTAACTGTTGATTACCCTGAACGTAGAATTCAACTGAAAAACCAATACAAAAATAAATAAAATAAATGATACATTTAAATAAATAATATCAAAATAATAAATACCAAGAAACAAGATCAACAAATATTTTGGAGCGCACTTCAACAAGCTACTAAACATATATAAATATGATAAATACAAATAAATTACATCAAATATGTTGCACGGTCACAACCTTGCAAAGCAAAATAATCGTTTTTTTCGATTATGTTGTTTTCGTAATTGTGGCAGGCCAAAATCGTAATTGCGATTAAAATACGATTAATTGCACAGCCCTAGCTCAAAGTGCACCCTGTAGAGAGTAAAACTCGAACACAGAGAAGACCCGTCTCTGCTGCCCCAGAACGCCTCGCTGGACATTTCTCTTTTTCCATTGTTTACTTCTTGGGTATAGTGACGTAACGCTGTGGAGCTCCGCTAACTCACACACTCAGCCTTATCTCCGTACACACACTCGGAGCTCAGGCTGTGAGTGTGTGTGTGTGTGTGTGCTCAGGCTGAGTGTCTCGGTGTCTCGCAGACCCCACGCAGCAACCAGGAAACGACCCCAGTAACCCACCTCACACTATCCGCTCCTCGAGCCTCACAGGGTGGAGCAGAGAGCCCCCCAACGTCCCCCCAACACGGCACCCAGACCCCACGCAGCATTCCCATCTGTTTGTCATCACTGGTGTCATTTCCTGGTTGCTAACAAACGCCATTGTAAAACATAATCACTGATGTTCTGCTGTAACGGTGATGGACTCATCAGAGCACAGTGGGCTCACAGGGAGGGGGGGGGGGGGGGGGGGGGAGGAGCTCCAACAAGCCGTTGAGCACAGAGACACAGACTATACAGAGACGCTGAATGAGAAACCAATGTGAGTTTGGATCAATCTGTTCTAGTTGACCTCAACACTGAACTATGATCAGTAGTTACAAAATAATCTCAAACATTCAAACTTTGTTTCATACATTCCAGATATCTTTCCTAAAATATAAAATAAATGTTCTTAAAATATAGATTTCTTTCCTCAGAATATCCTCATGGATGTGTTTCTGTTATTGAGGATATCTCTGAGTCCCTCCTGACCTGTGTCCTCCCTCCTGACCCGTGTCCTCCCTCCTGACCTGTGTCCTCCCTCCTGACCCGTGTCCTCCCTCCTGACCCGTGTCCTCCCTCCTGACCCGTGTCCTCCCTCCTGACCCGTGTCCTCCCTCCTGACCTGTGTCCTCCCTCCTGACCTGTGTCCTCCCTCCTGACCTGTGTCCTCCCTCCTGACCTGTGTCCTCCCTCCTCCCTCCTGACCCGTGTCCTCCCTCCTGACCCGTGTCCTCCCTCCTGACCCGTGTCCTCCCTCCTGACCCGTGTCCTCCCTCCTGACCCGTGTCCTCCCTCCTGACCCGTGTCCTCCCTCCTGACCTGTGTCCTCCCTCCTGACCCGTGTCCTCCCTCCTGACCCGTGTCCTCCCTCAGCTCCACTGCAGATCGTGATCAGTGACGATGACGAGGTGGTGCGCTCGGCTCAGCAGGAGGAAGACGAGGCGTTCGCTCGCAGTCTGCAGGTAACACCCTCACCTGTAGACACGCTCACTACTGTTGTTGTTGTTGTTGTTAGTCTTCTTGTTGCTAAGCAGCAGTTTGAGTGTCTTTGTGGTCGTTCTGAATGTCTTCAAAGTTGTTGCTCTCTCTACTCAGGCTCAGTTTGACCGGGAGGAGACCCACAGCAGACCCCATGACCACCACCACCACCACCACCATCCTCATCATCATCTTCATCATCAGAGGCATCACGGGGTGAGACGGACGCTTCTAGTCAACATCTGTTCTTCTTCTGTGGTGTTCCCTCTGCATGTAAAGGGTCTGCGGAAGAAAAAAAAAAAACCCCACCCTGAAACGCCTCCATTGGACTCCCTTTGTTTACTTCCAGAACATAGTGACATCACTACAGAACACTCGCGCTCCTATTGGCTCGCAAGTGCACGGGACATCTCTTAAGAGGTTGACCAATCACAACAGAGCCGGCCAGCTGACCAATCAGAGCAGACTGTGCGCTTGTGTCTTTATTTTTTAAATACAACACATATTGTATCTTGAGGTATTCAAATATTGTCTTATCTTCTGAACACACTTCTAGTTAAATATTCCATCTGAATGAAGTGCAGTGTGCAGAAGCTTTGGGAGTGCAGTGTGCAGAAGCTTTAGGAGTGCAGTGTGCAGAAGCTTTGGGAGTCTCTTCAGCCCGGACCCTCCCTGTGCTCTGTCTCTAAACACAGTGATCAATGGACCTGATGTGTCCAGGTGTCTTTAGTATTCTCTACTGACAGACGTCCATAGAGTGGTGCAGTGACGAGTCCTAAAACACACTTCCTGTTCCCTGGTCTCAGAGCCAATGGGATCTCTCCATAGGGTTTAGGAAGTGTGGACCCTCCTGTATGTGGCCCTCAGTGAAACAGTGTGGACCCTCCTGTATGTGGCCCTCAGTGAAACAGTGTGGACCCTCCTGTATGTGGCCCTCAGTGAAACAGTGTGGACCCTCCTGTATGTGGCCCTCAGTGAAACAGTGTGGACCCCCCTGTATGTGGCCCTCAGTGAAACAGTGTGGACCCTCCTGTATGTGGCCCTCAGTGAAACAGTGTGGACCCTCCTGTATGTGGCCCTCAGTGAAACAGTGTGGACCCCCCTGTATGTGGCCCTCAGTGAAACAGTGTGGACGCCCTGCTTTAATGTGTGTGTTGTTCTCCTGCAGTATGACCCCTACATGGAGCCCAGCTGGATGCCTCACCTCCTCGCTGCCGTCTCCCCATTGGTCGAAAACGGTAAATAAGTTCCTTCATGATATTTATGATATTTATAGAACGCTTCATTTCCTCTGAAGGCGGGACCTGAGAGTAACCTGAGAGTAACCTGAGAGGAACCTGAGAGGAACCTGAGAGGAACCTGAGAGGAACCTGAGAGGAACCTGAGAGTAACCTGAGAGTAACCTGAGAGGAACCTGAGAGGAACCTGAGAGGAACCTGAGAGGAACCTGAGAGGAACCTGAGAGGAACCTGAGAGTAACCTGAGACACTGCTCCTCTGACGCCCTGTGACGCTCTCACAGAGCTTCCTGTGGCTCCTTCACTCATACTGCAGGTGTGTTTTCCACAGATCTGATTGGTCAGCGGAACAGAAGGGGGCGGGGCCGGAGGAGGACCGCTGATGCTGCAGAACAGCTGCAGGGAAACGACTACGAGGTGAGGAGGAGAGGGAGGAGGAGGAGGGAGAGGAGGAGGATGATGATGATGATGATGATGAGGAGGAGCAGACAGTAACTCCCCCCCCCCCCCCTACTCCCCCCCGCCCCCCCCCCCTTCTCTCCCCCCCCCCCCCCCCCCTCAGGCTTTGCTGGCGTTCGAGGAGCAGCAAGGATCTGTGATGAAGAACAAGCTGAGTCTCCGGGAGGTGCAGAGGTTTCCCATCAGGAGCTACTCCTCAGCGAGCGGAGCAGGAAACACCACGTGAGTCCAGAGCCTCAAGACCCCCCCCACAGAGCCTCAAGACCCCCCCCCATAGAGCCTCAAGACCCCCCCCATAGAGCCTCGAGACCCCCCCCATAGAGCCTCAAGACCCCCCCACAGAGCCTCAAGACCCCCCCACAGAGCCTCAAAGACCCCCCCCACAGAGCCTCAAGACCCCCCCACAGAGCCTCAAGACCCCCCCCACAGAGCCTCAAGACCCCCCCACAGAGCCTCAAGACCCCCCCCACAGAGCCTCAAGACCCCCCCCACAGAGCCTCAAGACCCCCCCCACAGAGCCTGAACACACACCTCATAGAGTCTGATCACACCTCATAGAGTCTGAACACACACCTCATAGAGTCTGAACACACACCTCATAGAGTCTGAACACACCGAGACCCCCCCCATAGAGCCTCGAGACCCCCCCCATAGAGCCTCGAGACCCCCCCCATAGAGCCTCGAGACCCCCCCCCATAGAGCCTCGAGACCCCCCCCCATAGAGCCTCGAGACCCCCCCCCATAGAGACTTTACATCATGGTCAGAATAACAGAACATGCATCTTTCACATTCACATCATTGTATTTAAAGAGAACTTTCTAGAAAGAAATAAATAGAAATTAGTAGAAAAATATAAAATAATTCATAAAACACATTTTAAATACTAAAAAATGGATTATCATAAACGCTGCTCTTTGATTGACAGGTGTCAGATCTGTTTCTGTGACTACACTGAAGGGGAGGAGCTGAGGATGCTGCCGTGTTTCCATGACTACCACGTGAAGTGCATCGACCGCTGGCTGAAGGTGAAATCAGACATTTACACTTTTAAAATGACCTTTAAAGAGTCCTGCTGATGTTCAGGTGTATATCAGTATGTAGTGTCTCTACTTTAAAGAGTCCTCTCCTGCTGATGTTCAGGTGTATATCAGTATGTAGTGTCTCTACTTTAAAGAGTCCTCTCCTGCTGATGTTCAGGTGTATATCAGTAGGTAGTGTCTCTACTTTAAAGAGTCCTCTCCTGCTGATGTTCAGGTGTATATCAGTATGTAGTGTCTCTACTTTAAAGAGTCCTCTCCTGCTGATGTTCAGGTGTATATCAGTATGTAGTGTCTCTACTTTAAGAGTCCTCTCCTGCTGATGTTCAGGTGTATATCAGTATGTAGTGTCTCTACTTTAAAGAGTCCTCTCCTGCTGATGTTCAGGTGTTTATCAGTATGTAGTGTCTCTACTTTAAAGAGTCCTCTCCTGCTGATGTTCAGGTGTATATCAGTATGTAGTGTCTCTACTTTAAAGAGTCCTCTCCTGCTGATGTTCAGGTGTATATCAGTATGTAGTGTCTCTACTTTAAAGAGTCCTCTCCTGCTGATGTTCAGGTGTATATCAGTATGTAGTGTCTCTACTTTAAAGAGTCCTTCTCCTGCTGATGTTCAGGTGTTTATCAGTATGTAGTGTCTCTACTTAAAGAGTCCTCTCCTGCTGAGGTTCAGGTGTATATCAGTATGTAGTGGTCTCTAACTTTAAGAGTCCTCTCCTGCTGATGTTCAGGTGTATATCAGTATGTAGTGTCTCTACTTTAAAAGAGTCCTCTCCTGCTGATGTTCAGGTGTTTATCAGTATGTAGTGTCTCTACTTTAAAGAGTCCTCTCCTGCTGATGTTCAGGTGTATATCAGTATGTAGTGTCCTCTACTTTAAAGAGTCCTCTCCTGCTGATGTTCAGGTGTATATCAGTATGTAGTGTCTCTACTTTAAAAGAGTCCTCTCCTGCTGATGTTCAGGTGTATATCAGTATGTAGTGTCTCTACTTTAAAGAGTCCTCTCCTGCTGATGTTCAGGGTGTATATCAGTATGTAGTGTCTCTACTTTAAAGAGTCCTCTCCTGCTGATGTTCAGGTGTTTATCAGTATGTAGTGTCTCTACTTTAAAGAGTCCTCTCCTGCTGATGTTCAGGTGTATATCAGTATGTAGTGTCTCTACTTTAAAGAGTCCTCTCCTGCTGATTGTTCAGGTGTTTATCAGTATGTAGTGTCTCTACTTTAAAGAGTCCTCTCCTGCTGATTGTTCAGGTGTATATCAGTATGTAGTGTCTCTACTTTAAAGAGTCCCTCTCCTGCTGATGTTCAGGTGTATATCAGTATGTAGTGTCTCTACTTTAAAGAGTCCTCTCCTGCTGATGTTCAGGTGTATATCAGTATGTAGTGTCTCTACTTTAAAGAGTCCTCTCCTGCTGATGTTCAGGTGTATATCAGTATGTAGTGTCTCTACTTTAAAGAGTCCTCTCCTGCTGATGTTCAGGTGTTTATCAGTATGTAGTGTCTCTACTTTAAAGAGTCCTCTCCTGCTGATGTTCAGGTGTATATCAGTAGTGTAGTGTCTCTACTTTAAAGAGTCCTCTCCTGCTGATGTTCAGGTGTATATCAGTATGTAGTGTCTCTACTTTAAAGAGTCCTCTCCTGCTGACGTTCAGGTGTATATCAGTATGTAGTGTCTCTACTTTAAAGAGTCCTCTCCTGCTGATGTTCAGGTGTATATCAGTATGTAGTGTCTCTACTTTAAAGAGTGCTCTCCTGCTGATGTTCAGGTGTATATCAGTATGTAGTGTCTCTACTTTAAAGAGTCCTCTCCTGCTGATGTTCAGGTGTATATCAGTATGTAGTGTCTCTACTTTAAAGAGTCCTCTCCTGCTGATGTTCAGGTGTATATCAGTATGTAGTGTCTCTACTTTAAAGAGTCCTCTCTGCTGATGTTCAGGTGTATATCAGTATGTAGTGTCTCTACTTTAAAGAGTCCTCTCCTGCTGATGTTCAGGTGTTATCAGTATGTAGTGTCTCTACTTTAAAGAGTCCTCTCCTGCTGATGTTCAGGTGTATATCAGTATGTAGTGTCTCTACTTTAAAGAGTCCTCTCCTGCTGATGTTCAGGTGTATATCAGTATGTAGTGTCTCTACTTTAAAGAGTCCTCTCCTGCTGATGTTCAGGTGTTTATCAGTATGTAGTGTCTCTACTTTAAAGAGTCCTCTCCTGCTGATGTTCAGGTGTATATCAGTATGTAGTGTCTCTACTTTAAAGAGTCCTCTCCTGCTGATGTTCAGGTGTATATCAGTATGTAGTGTCTCTACTTTAAAGAGTCCTCTCCTGCTGATGTTCAGGTGTATATCAGTATGTAGTGTCTCTACTTTAAAGAGTCCTCTCCTGCTGATGTTCAGGTGTATATCAGTATGTAGTGTCTCTACTTTAAAGAGTCCTCTCCTGCTGATGTTCAGGTGTTTATCAGTATGTAGTGTCTCTACTTTAAAGAGTCCTCTCCTGCTGATGTTCAGGTGTATATCAGTATGTAGTGTCTCTACTTTAAAGAGTCCTCTCCTGCTGATGTTCAGGTGTTATATCAGTATGTAGTGTCTCTACTTTAAAGAGTCCTCTCCTGCTGATGTTCAGGTGTATATCAGTATGTAGTGTCTCTACTTTAAAGAGTCCTCTCCTGCTGATGTTCAGGTGTATATCAGTATGTAGTGTCTCTACTTTAAAGAGTCCTCTCCTGCTGATGTTCAGGTGTATATCAGTATGTAGTGTCTCTACTTTAAAGAGTCCTCTCCTGCTGATGTTCAGGTGTATATCAGTATGTAGTGTCTCTACTTTAAAGAGTCCTCTCCTGCTGATGTTCAGGTGTTTATCAGTATGTAGTGTCTCTACTTTAAAGAGTCCTCTCCTGCTGATGTTCAGGTGTATATCAGTATGTAGTGTCTCTACTTTAAAGAGTCCTCTCCTGCTGATGTTCAGGTGTATATCAGTATGTAGTGTCTCTACTTTAAAGAGTCCTCTCCTGCTGACGTTCAGGTGTATATCAGTATGTAGTGTCTCTACTTTAAAGAGTCCTCTCCTGCTGATGTTCAGGTGTATATCAGTATGTAGTGTCTCTACTTTAAAGAGTGCTCTCCTGCTGATGTTCAGGTGTATATCAGTATGTAGTGTCTCTACTTTAAAGAGTCCTCTCCTGCTGATGTTCAGGTGTATATCAGTATGTAGTGTCTCTACTTTAAAGAGTCCTCTCCTGCTGATGTTCAGGTGTATATCAGTATGTAGTGTCTCTACTTTAAAGAGTCCTCTCCTGCTGATGTTCAGGTGTATATCAGTATGTAGTGTCTCTACTTTAAAGAGTCCTCTCCTGCTGATGTTCAGGTGTATATCAGTATGTGGTGTCTCTACTTTAAAGAGTCCTCTCCTGCTGATGTTCAGGTGTATATCAGTATGTAGTGTCTCTACTTTAAAGAGTCCTCTCCTGCTGATGTTCAGGTGTATATCAGTATGTAGTGTCTCTACTTTAAAGAGTCCTCTCCTGCTGATGTTCAGGTGTTTATCAGTATCTAGTGTCTCTACTTTAAAGAGTCCTCTCCTGCTGACGTTCAGGTGTATATCAGTATGTAGTGTCTCTACTTTAAAGAGTCCTCTCCTGCTGATGTTCAGGTGTATATCAGTATGTGGTGTCTCTACTTTAAAGAGTCCTCTCCTGCTGATGTTCAGGTGTATATCAGTATGTAGTGTCTCTACTTTAAAGAGTCCTCTCCTGCTGATGTTCAGGTGTATATCAGTATGTAGTGTCTCTACTTTAAAGAGTCCTCTCCTGCTGATGTTCAGGTGTATATCAGTATGTAGTGTCTCTACTTTAAAGAGTCCTCTCTTGCTGATGTTCAGGTGTATATCAGTATGTAGTGTCTCTACTTTAAAGAGTCCTCTCCTGCTGATGTTCAGGTGTATATCAGTATGTAGTGTCTCTACTTTAAAGAGTCCTCTCCTGCTGATGTTCAGGTGTATATCAGTATGTAGTGTCTCTACTTTAAAGAGTCCTCTCCTGCTGATGTTCAGGTGTATATCAGTATGTAGTGTCTCTACTTTAAAGAGTCCTCTCCTGCTGATGTTCAGGTGTATATCAGTATGTAGTGTCTCTACTTTAAAGAGTCCTCTCCTGCTGATGTTCAGGTGTATATCAGTATGTGGTTGTCTCTACTTTAAAGAGTCCTCTCCTGCTGATGTTCAGGTGTATATCAGTATGTAGTGTCTCTACTTTAAAGAGTCCTCTCCTGCTGATGTTCAGGTGTATATCAGTATGTAGTGTCTCTACTTTAAAGAGTCCTCTCCTGCTGATGTTCAGGTGTTTATCAGTATCTAGTGTCTCTACTTTAAAGAGTCCTCTCCTGCTGATGTTCAGGTGTATATCAGTATGTAGTGTCTCTACTTTAAAGAGTCCTCTCCTGCTGACGTTCAGGTGTATATCAGTATGTAGTGTCTCTACTTTAAAGAGTCCTCTCCTGCTGATGTTCAGGTGTATATCAGTATGTGGTGTCTCTACTTTAAAGAGTCCTCTCCTGCTGATGTTCAGGTGTATATCAGTATGTAGTGTCTCTACTTTAAAGAGTCCTCTCCTGCTGATGTTCAGGTGTATATCAGTATGTAGTGTCTCTACTTTAAAGAGTCCTCTCCTGCTGATGTTCAGGTGTATATCAGTATGTAGTGTCTCTGCTTTAAAGAGTCCTCTCCTGCTGATGTTCAGGTGTGTATCAGTATGTAGTGTCTCTACTTTAAAGAGTCCTCTCCTGCTGATGTTCAGGTGTATATCAGTATGTAGTGTCTCTACTTTAAAGAGTCCTCTCCTGCTGATGTTCAGGTGTATATCAGTATGTAGTGTCTACTTTAAAGAGTCCTCTCCTGCTGATGTTCAGGTGTATATCAGTATGTAGTGTCTCTACTTTAAAGAGTCCTCTCCTGCTGATGTTCAGGTGTATATCAGTGTGTAGTGTCTCTACTTTAAAGAGTCCTCTCCTGCTGATGTTCAGGTATATATCAGTATGTAGTGTCTCTACTTTAAAGAGTCCTCTCCTGCTGATGTTCAGGTGTATATCAGTATGTAGTGTCTCTTGAAAGAGTCCTCTCCTGTTGATGTTCAGGTGTATATCAGTATGTAGTGTCTCTACTTTAAAGAGTCCTCTCCTGCTGATGTTCAGGTGTATATCAGTATGTAGTGTCTCTACTTTAAAGAGTCCTCTCCTGTTGATGTTCAGGTGTATATCAGTATGTAGTGTCTCTACTTTAAAGAGTCCTCTCCTGCTGATGTGCAGGTGTATATCAGTATGTAGTGTCTCTACTTTAAAGATTCCTCTCCTGCTGATGTTCAGGTTTATATCAGTATGTAGTGTCTCTACTTTAAAGAGTCCTCTCCTGCTGATGTTCAGGTGTATATCAGTATGTAGTGTCTCTACTTTAAAGAGTCCTCTCCTGCTGATGTTCAGGTGTATATCAGTATGTAGTGTCTCTACTTTAAAGAGTCCTCTCCTGCTGATGTTCAGGTGTATATCAGTAAGTAGTGTCTCTACTTTAAAGAGTCCTTGTCTTTCTACAGGATAACTCCACGTGTCCGATCTGCAGAGCGAACCTGGCCGACCTCTGACTTCCAGTTGGAAGAAAAACGACTCGTCTTTTTATTTTAACTTTTTATTTAAATCTTTGATCCTGAAGCAGAAAGCAGACATTAAAGACGTTTTAATTTGTTCTGTTTTTATGTTAAGTCTGATAAAAATAAATCCTATTTCTACAAGGTGTCTCTGTCTCTTCTCGTGACTCCTCGTTGGTGTCTCTCTGTCCCCGGGCGTCCTCACTCCTCGTAGTATCTCTTCTTCATGGCGCGGTACTTCCTCAGGTAGTAAAGCGCCTCCAGCTCTCGGGACACGAACTCCCCGCGGAGGATCATCTCTCGGATCGCCTGAGGGTCGCTCTCTGCTCTGTTCCTGGAGAACGCAGACCTCAGACGGTCCCTGAAGTACTCGCTGCCTTTAGGGTACTCCCTGCCCAGGTACAGCAGCTGGGGGGGACATAGAGACTTTAGGGGGGCCGGGGGACATGGAGACTTTAGGGGGGCCGGGGGACATGAGACTTTAGGGGGGGGACATAGAGACTTTAGGGGGGGGACATAGAGACTTTAGGGGGGCCGGGGGACATGGAGACTTTAATCAAGGGCTGAATAATGAAAAATGCTGCTTTTACCATCATTATCATTAATTAAAGTTCCAATAAATGTCATTTTAAAACCCATTCACAGTGAACGTTGTGAAAAACAGACAACAAACAATACAAATATATATATATATTTAAATTGTCAGTTAATGTTATGATCTCAAGGTTTAAAAATCATCATATTTCTCAGATTTTTTTACTCACATTTTTATAAAGTCGGACGACCTCTGACCTTAGAGGATTCGCCATCGTCTCAAACGGCTGAAAACACAAAGTACATCAATATTCAGGAAATATTCAATCAAAAATAACCACGAGGATAAACTGTATCATCAAGAATGACTACTTTTACTGTAACAGAGTATTCCTACACTCTGAGTACTTCTACTTTTACTCAAGTACAAGATCCGAGTACTTCTACTTTTACTCAAGTACAAGATCTGAGTACTTCTACTTTTACTCAAGTACAATATCTGAGTACTCCTTCCTCCTCTGAGGATATATATATATATATGTATATATACTTGTTATAACTCTGTTTAGTATGTGGTGTACTTTCTCCGGTGCCTCCTCACCTGTCGCAGTGACCTCTGCTCTCAGCGGAAGAGAAGCTCTAACTCGATCAGTCTGATTACAAATCGATTAAAACCCGGTCCGTATGTTCACCTAAATTAGTTTAGCAGCATATTTATTAAGAATAACGTGAAACGGAGCTTTCATATTTCAACTTTAGTACCGAGCTCGGTGGGAACAAGCAAGAAAAGTAAACAACCAAAGAGTCGCTCAACAGCCAAAGAGTAACCCGCGCAGAGATGGTAATCCTCCGAAACAGAGCGCGACGGTTCCGCTGATGTCCGCACATGCGCACTGATGAGCAGCTTGTGTAAGGCGCAGAAAATAAGTAAAAGTAAATAAAACAAAAATATAACATTACAACAAAGTAAATATATTTTTAGAAAGTGTATTATACTTGCTAACTCCATTTACAGTGTGTAAATAAACGGATTACACAAACAAAAATAAAAGGTAGGAACTTTTTTATATTAAGCATCCATATTAAATAACTTTTAAAGCTCCCATGTCATGCTTTTCCGGTTATTACCCGTCCCCTTGTGTGTTATGAAGGTTTTTATGCATGTAAACGGTGTGCAGAGTCAAAACCCTCAAAGTACACCCTGTAGCGAGTAAAACTCTAACACAGAAAATACCTCCCCAAAACGCCTCGTTGGAGATACGTCATTGCCCATTTGAGTCTTCCATTTAGTTCCTGGTACGGCATGATGTCATTCACAATCGATCCAGTCATGCCAATGCCAAGGACCTGTTTCCTGAAATGTGAGGAGAAATCTGAGCTGTTTGTCCTACCGACGGAAGAACCACGACGAAGTCAGTGGTTGAAATGTCTTTTTAACACTGTGCCTTCAGAGGTTCGAAGAACCGGCATTTCACAGACGAAAGCTTCCAAAACATTGCCCAGTTTAAGGCCAGATATGCACAGCATTTGAAACTGAAGGACGATGCTATTCCTAGTTTGTTTGGACCGTTTGGAGCAGGGGAAGATTCGGGTACACAACCTGTAAGTTTGCATTGTTATTTGTGTATTTATCAAACAAGACTGTTTAAATGTGTAAACTGTGTTGGACTGCTAAGCCATTGACACAGTGCTAACTGTGCTAACTAAGTTGCTAGCGTTTCCATATATCAACTCTAATATCAGCAGATGGCCTTGCATACGATACATGTATCTCATAGCAGGAGAATGTCTGCATTCACACACGAAATACCTATTGACAGTATACTCCGTGTGATTTGCCGTGCGGTCAGTCGCGATACGTAATTACATTATAGCTGGCGTAGCGTGTATGCTACCGATCTAACCCACGGAGCTAGAGCTAGGTTTGGTAGGAAAAACATTTTTGTGATGCTACGTTGCTAGCGTTTAAATATATCAACTACAATGTCAGCAGATGGCCTTACATGTTTGTCATGGTAGGAGAATGTCTGCAGTCACACACAGAATACTCATACAGTATACATTGTGACAGTACATGTACATACTGCATGTATAGCTAACGAGGCTAGCTGTATGCTAGCGCAAAACAATGTATTCATGCAAGTTGCAATGTATGACCGAACGTAGCAGAATACCCGTATAATATTGCAATTATAAACACGTTATTGCTAGCCTAATATGAACCACTAGCTTTTGTTCATAGTAGTGTAAGCATTGGGTTGAGAGGTCATGTGTTGTGAGCATGCGCAGTCGGGGCTAGAGTGGTGTGTGACATGTGTGTGACTCGACGTTAATAAACGGAGGCATCTGTGACGCTCCAAAAAGTACTAAGTTCCTGAGTTCTTGTTACACAGAAGTATTCTTGAAGCCTTAACACCTCGGACGTTACATTGGTGGCAGCGGTGGGATCAAAAGGCAACCGGTATGTGTTGGTTGTTGAGGACTATTTCACAAAATTTGTAAATCTGTATGCCATCCCCGATCAAAAAGCCCCGACGGTCGCGGAGTGTCTCTTCCAGAACTACATCTTGGAGCATGGGGTAATGGAAACTCTGCAGCCTTTCCCTTGGAGGGACCATCAAGGTCTCTCTTACACCTTTCTCAGCCTCTTCCGTTGCAAGATGCAGTCTCCCCACAGAGCTCTGGACGCTTGAGGTTTTCCGATGGGGAAAGTGGCTGTGATCTTGGGCCGGGTTCTGGGGCTGGTGATTCCCCTGAGCTCGAACAAGCCGCACCGACGGTGTCCCGGGCTGGGAGGTTAGCGCGGCCTCCTGTCCGATTTTTGGACTTTGTTATGGGCTGAATGACTGGTGGTTACGTGCTTGTGTGATTATTTTCTCCTGTGTATTCTATGCTGCATAATTGGTTTTTTTCATGTTTCGAGTGTGCAGGACAGGGGAATAGGTTATGTCATACCTAGTTTGATGTTTTATTTGGGCTGTGGATGTGTTTTGTTTGTCATTGTTTTTATTCAAAGATTTTTTTTCGAATGTACGTCATGCCTGCATGTATTATTCTGCGGGGTAGTGTGTGGTTTGTTATGTTTTTGGGGTTTTTCGTGGTTGTATTGTTTTTTTATGTTTTGTTGTGTTTTCACCATGTGTGTGGAAATGGGGACATTTCTTTCAGTAAGGGGGGACGCATGTAAGCATTGGGTTGAGAGGTCATGTGTTGTGAGCATGCGCAGTCGGGGGCTAGAGTGGTGGTGACATGTGTGTGACTCGACGTTAATAAACGGAGGCATCTGTGACGCTCCAAAAAGTACTAAGTTCCTGAGTTCTTGTTACACAGAAGTATTCTTGAAGCCTTAACACCTCGGACGTTACAGTAGTTTTATTACACTACATTATAGTCCTCCAAGCTAACGTTCATATCGTGTTAGCTACCAAGGTAAACAAAGCTAGGTTAGCATATTAGCAGGCAAGCTGTTCATTATATAGATCCACACTCCTACCACAACTACTACTAACGAATCTAAAACAACTACGTTTCTCTAATATTTTGTGATTTGCATTTTATTTCGTCCAGCCAGATCCTGCCGGACAATACATGACGGGACTACCACACTGAGGCCTCGTCCTAAAAAGCCCCGGCTGCGATAGGCAAGATGCCGACAACGGGGAGTAATTGACGATATACCGTGTATATATGTATATTTACGTTCATTTTGTACATTTCTAAAAATAAAGTTTAATGGAAATACTTAGTAGGCCTATCCTTTCTTCCCTGAATTATTTGCTCCTATAACATATCATTCATATATAGCAAACCATGATTTGATTTCTCATCAAACAGTAGTAGTTTATAACGGGTAAAAATAACTTACTTTTTGTTATGACCGGCTCGTAGGCCACAACGGAAAGACAAGGAGACATACACGAGTTTACAAAACCACGGCACATTTATTGTGGTAAATGCAGAGATAGGTGGTCAGGGGAGAGGATCGCTGAGCCGCTTTGGAGAGAGAGAGGGGCCCGTGTGACTCCGGGCAGCTGGCTAGCACCTCAGCTCCGGCCAGGTGTCCGTGATCGCGCTGATTAGCCTCTTCAGCTCCACCCCATCGTAAGACAAAGGCCCTGGGGCCGTCACACTCTTCTATAACAACAGTTAAAAATATATATATGTATATAAAATATACGGCTGTACCGACGCCATGATAAGACTGATGTTCCGCTGAGAGCAGCCGTTTAGACATGGGCGCAGCCTCTCTGGTGGTTGACTAATCAGAACAGAGTGGCCGAGCTGACCAATCGGAGCACACTAGGCTCACAGGGAGGGGGGGGCAAGAGCTCCAACGAGTCGTTTAGTGGAGAAAGTGAATACTGCTGAATACACATGCTTGACAGAGATGCTGTATGCGAAACCAATGTGAGTTTGGAAAATTGCACAGTATAAATCTATTTTAGTATACCTCAACAATGTAATTATGATCAGTGGAAATGGCCATGACATGGGCCCTTTAACATGTTTTGAGCCACTTCTTTCCAACATGTATGATATTCCTAACTTCACCATAGCCTTAACAATTTAAGCAAACATCTGCTTCATTCAGTTAAAATGAGACAAAGAAAACCACCTTTAAATATGCATATTCTTTATTCTTTAAACAACATCTTTCCTATTAATAAAAACATGATACAGGCACACGGGGACATGTCCGTCTGAAGGGATGAAATATCGTGTTTTAAACATCAGCTGCTGGTTCTGTGTGTTTGGCTTCAGTTGGTTCTTCAGCTGCAGAACACCCTCCCTCACATCGGGGCTGAAAACAGGCACAATCATGACTTTTATTTTGTTGCTGAGATTGGCAGACTCGCCCCACATCCCATAATAAGCGCTGTGATACTGATCAGAGGTCAGTAGTTGGTCTTCAGCCGGCGGTTCTCCTCCCTCAGTTTCTCCACCTCCTCCACCAGAGACTCGTTCACAGAGTACTTCTCTACCAGGCCGTGGATCTCGTTCTGAAACAGAGACACTGTTAAACAAGTCCTGAACAAGTCTTTGAACAAGTCTCTGAACAAGAAGTCTTTGAACAAGTCTTTAAACAAGAAGTCTTTGAACAAGTCTTTAAACAAGAAGTCTTTGAACAAGTCTTTAAACAAGAAGTCTTTGAACAAGTCTTTAAACAAGAAGTCTTTGAACAAGTCTTTAAACAAGAAGTCTTTGAACAAGTCTTTAAACAAGAAGTCTTTGAACAAGTCTTTAAACAAGAAGTCTTTGAACAAGTCTTTGAACAAGTCTTTAAACAAGTCTTTGAACAAGTCTTTAAACAAGTCTTTAAACAAGTCCTGAACAAGTCTTTGAACAAGTCTTTGAACAAGTCTTTAAACAAGTCTTTGAACAAGTCTTTGAACAAGTGAACAAGTCTTTGAACAAGTCTTTGAACAAGTGAACAAGTCTTTAAACAAGTCTTTGAACAAGTCTTTGAACAAGTGAACAAGTCTTTGAACAAGTCTTTGAACAAGTGAACAAGTCTTTGAACAAGTCTTTGAACAAGTCTTTGAACAAGTGAACAAGTCTTTGAACAAGTCTTTGAACAAGTCTTTAAACAAGTGAACAAGTCTTTGAACAAGTCTTTGAACAAGTGAACAAGTCTTTGAACAAGTCTTTGAACAAGTCTTTGAACAAGTCTTTAAACAAGTCTTTGAACAAGTCTTTAAACAAGTCTTTGAACAAGTATTTGAACAAGTCTTTGAACAAGTGAACAAGTCTTTGAACAAGTCTTTGAACAAGTCTTTGAACAAGTCTTTGAACAAGTGAACAAGTCTTTGAACAAGTCTTTAAACAAGTCTTTGAACAAGTACAGTCTTTGAAACAAGTCTTTGAACAAGTCTTGAACAAGTCTTTAAACAAGTCTTTGACAAGTCTTTAAACAAGTCTTTGAACAAGTCTTTGAACAAGTCTTTAAACAAGTCTTTGAACAAGTCTTTGAACAAGTCTTTGAACAAGTCTTTAAACAAGTCTTTGAACAAGTCTTTGAACAAGTCTTTGAACAAGTCTTTAAACAAGTCTTTGAACAAGTCTTTGAACAAGTCTTTAAACAAGTCTTTGAACAAGTCTTTGAACAACAAGTCTTTGAACAAGTCTTTGAACAAGTCCTGAACAAGCCTTTGAACAAGTCTTTGAACAAGTGAACAAGTCTTTGAACAAGTCCTGAACAAGCCTTTGAACAAGTCTTTGAACAAGTGAACAAGTCTTTGAACAAGTCTTTGAACAAGTGAACAAGTCTTTGAACAAGTGAACAAGTCTTTGAACAAGTCTTTAAACAAGTGTTTGAACAAGTCTTTAAACAAATCTTTGAACAAGTCTTTGAACAAGTCCTGAACAAGCCTTTGAACAAGTCTTTGAACAAGTCTTTGAACAAGTCTTTGAACAAGTCTTTGAACAAGTCCTGAACAAGTCTTTGAACAAGCCTTGACAAGCCTTTGAACCTTGAACAAGTCTTGAACAAGTCTTGAACAAGTGAACAAGTCTTTGAACAAGTCTTGAACAAGTGAACAAGTCTTTGAACAAGTCTTTGAACAAGTCTTTGAACAAGTGAACAAGTCTTTAAACAAGTCTTTGAACAAGTCTTTGAACAAGTGAACAAGTCTTTGAACAAGTCTTTAAACAAGTCTTTGAACAAGTCTTTGAACAAGTCTTTGAACAAGTCTTTGAACAAGTGAACAAGTCTTTGAACAAGTCTTTGAACAAGTCTTTGAACAAGTGAACAAGTCTTTGAACAAGTCTTTAAACAAGTCTTTGAACAAGTCTTTGAACAAGTCTTTAAACAAGTCTTTGAACAAGTCTTTGAACAAGTCTTTGAACAAGTGAACAAGTCTTTAAACAAGTCTTTGAACAAGTGAACAAGTCTTTGAACAAGTCTTTAAACAAGTCTTTGAACAAGTCTTTGAACAAGTCTTTAAACAAGTCTTTGAACAAGTGAACAAGTCTTTGAACAAGTCTTTGAACAAGTCTTTGAACAAGTGAACAAGTCTTGTGAACAAGTCTTTAAACAAGTCTTTGAACAAGTCTTTGAACAAGTCTTTAAAACAAGTCTTTAAACAAGTCTTTGACAAGTCTTTGACCAAGTCTTTGAAACAAGTGAACAAGTCTTTGAACAAGTCTTTGAACAAGTCTTTGAACAAGTCTTTGAACAAGTCTTTGAACAAGTCTTTGAACAAGTCTTTGAACAAGTCTTTGAACAAGTCTTCGAACAAGTCTTCGAACAAGTCTTCGAACAAGTTTTTGAACAAGTCTTCGAACAAGTCTTTGAACAAGTCTTTGAACAAGTGAACAAGTCTTTAAACAAGTCTTTGAACAAGTCTTTGAACAAGTGAACAAGTCTTTGAACAAGTGAACAAGTCTTCGAACAAGTCTTTAAACAAGTCTTCGAACAAGTCTTTAAACAAGTCTTTGAACAAGTCTTTAAACAAGTCTTTGAACAAGTCTTTAAACAAGTCTTTGAACAAGTCTTTAAACAAGTCTTTGAACAAGTCTTTAAACAAGTCTTCGAACAAGTCTTTAAACAAGTCTTTGAACAAGTCTTTGAACAAGTGAACAAGTCTTTAAACAAGTCTTTGAACAAGTCTTTAAACAAGTCTTTGAACAAGTCTTTAAACAAGTCTTTGAACAAGTCTTTAAACAAGTCTTCGAACAAGTCTTCGAACAAGTCTTTGAACAAGTCTTTGAACAAGTGAACAAGTCTTTAAACAAGTCTTTGAACAAGTCTTTAAACAAGTCTTTGAACAAGTCTTTAAACAAGTCTTTAAACAAGTCTTTGAACAAGTGAACAAGTCTTTAAACAAGTCTTTGAACAAGTCTTTGAACAAGTCTTTGAACAAGTCTTTGAACAAGTCTTTAAACAAGTCTTTGAACAAGTCTTTGAACAAGTCTTTAAACAAGTCTTTGAACAAGTCTTTGAACAACAAGTCTTTGAACAAGTGAACAAGTCTTTGAACAAGTCTTTGAACAACAAGTCTTTGAACAAGTGAACAAGTCTTTGAACAAGTCTTTAAACAAGTGATTGAACAAGTCTTTAAACAAATCTTTGAACAAGTCTTTGAACAAGTCTTTGAACAAGTCTTTGAACAAGTCCTGAACAAGCCTTTGAACAAGTGAACAAGTCTTTGAACAAGTCTTTGAACAAGTGAACAAGTCTTTGAACAAGTGAACAAGTCTTTGAACAAGTCTTTAAACAAGTGTTTGAACAAGTCTTTAAACAAATCTTTGAACAAGTCTTTAAACAAGTCTTTGAACAAGTCTTTGAACAACAAGTCTTTGAACAAGTCTTTGAACAAGTGAACAAGTCTTTGAACAAGTCTTTAAACAAGTGTTTGAACAAGTCTTTAAACAAATCTTTGAACAAGTCTTTAAACAAGTCTTTGAACAAGTCTTTGAACAAGTCCTGAACAAGCCTTGAAAGTCTTTGAACAAGTGAACAAGTCTTTGAACAAGTGAACAAGTCTTTGAACAAGTGAACAAGTCTTTGAACAAGTGAACAAGTCTTTGAACAAGTCTTTAAACAAGTGTTTGAACAAGTCTTTAAACAAATCTTTGAACAAGTCTTTGAACAAGTCCTGAACAAGTCTTTGAACAAGTCCTGAACAAGCCTTTGAACAAGTCTTTGAACAAGTCTTTGAACAAGTCTTTAAACAAGTCTTTAAACAAGTCTTTGAACAAGTCTTTGAACAAGTGAACAAGTCTTTGAACAAGTCTTTGAACAAGTGAACAAGTCTTTGAACAAGTGAACAAGTCTTTGAACAAGTCTTTGAACAAGTCTTTGAACAAGTGAACAAGTCTTTAAACAAGTCTTTGAACAAGTCTTTGAACAAGTCTTTGAACAAGTCTTTAAACAAGTCTTTGAACAAGTCTTTGAACAAGTCTTTAAACAAGTCTTTGAACAAGTCTTTGAACAAGTGAACAAGTCTTTGAACAAGTCTTTGAACAAGTGAACAAGTCTTTGAACAAGTCTTTAAACAAGTCTTTGAACAAGTCTTTGAACAAGTCTTTAAACAAGTCTTTGAACAAGTCTTTGAACAAGTCTTTGAACAAGTCTTTGAACAAGTGAACAAGTCTTTAAACAAGTCTTTGAACAAGTGAACAAGTCTTTGAACAAGTCTTTAAACAAGTCTTTGAACAAGTCTTTGAACAAGTCTTTAAACAAGTCTTTGAACAAGTCTTTGAACAAGTGAACAAGTCTTTGAACAAGTCTTTGAACAAGTCTTTGAACAAGTGAACAAGTCTTTGAACAAGTCTTTAAACAAGTCTTTGAACAAGTCTTTGAACAAGTCTTTAAACAAGTCTTTGAACAAGTCTTTGAACAAGTCTTTGAACAAGTGAACAAGTCTTTGAACAAGTCTTTGAACAAGTCTTTGAACAAGTCTTTGAACAAGTCTTTGAACAAGTCTTTGAACAAGTCTTTGAACAAGTCTTTGAACAAGTCTTCGAACAAGTCTTCGAACAAGTCTTTGAACAAGTCTTCGAACAAGTCTTTGAACAAGTCTTTGAACAAGTGAACAAGTCTTTAACAAGTCTTTGAACAAGTCTTTGAACAAGTGAACAAGTCTTTGAACAAGTGAACAAGTCTTCGAACAAGTCTTCGAACAAGTCTTTAAACAAGTCTTTGAACAAGTCTTTAAACAAGTCTTTGAACAAGTCTTTAAACAAGTCTTTGAACAAGTCTTTAAACAAGTCTTTGAACAAGTCTTTAAACAAGTCTTCGAACAAGTCTTTAAACAAGTCTTTGAACAAGTCTTTAAACAAGTCTTTGAACAAGTCTTTAAACAAGTCTTCAAACAAGTCTTCGAACAAGTCTTTGAACAAGTCTTTGAACAAGTCTTTGAACAAGTGAACAAGTCTTTAAACAAGTCTTTGAACAAGTCTTTAAACAAGTCTTTGAACAAGTCTTTAAACAAGTCTTTAAACAAGTCTTTGAACAAGTGAACAAGTCTTTAAACAAGTCTTTGAACAAGTCTTTGAA